TCGAAGATGGCATAAAAATTACGGCGACGGATACAAAATAATATCAGGTGGAAAATTAAAATAACAATCAATGATTACGGAAGTTTACAAATGTTGAATATTAAAAGGCTTTTTCCCGAGATTTTTGTTGGAGTATACTAATAATTAACGAGAAGCTATAGCCAGACGTCACTTGATGTGTAAAATGAAACAAAACTGATCATGAATGCAAAGTTAACTCTACAGGCCAAAGGGCCTATAATATGCCGTATTGCCAGTCTTGTCTTGAGTTTTGTTAAATAACAACAGCTGCCACCCCCGCCTCCGCCCCTCTCCCCCCCAAAAAATGTCAAGCTGGCTGAGTCGTGCACTGACACACTTCCTTATCTTTTTTCAGAAAGGAAAGGAAAAAAAATAGACATTCAGTAACATTAGGGTGCGTTAAAAATAGTTTCCTCCCTGCTCAACGCCCAGATGGAAAGAAAGCGCAACCGGAAGTGAATAGAAACTTCCGTCAGAACACGCCCGTGTAATCTGATTGGGCGATGAAACATTGTTCACTTCAAGTCACGTGTCCAAAATAATCACTTCCCGTTCATCTGATGGAATGACTTTTTTCCGTCAGCCCCAAAAAATTGAAAGCAAAACATGGCCTCGTTTGTTCGTGAAGCAGCTCAATCATGGACTTTATTTCTTCTTTTAACTTACACACTTACTCAAGTAACAGGTAAAATTTCCATTTTTGTATTAATGCTAGAATAACTTTAGATTTTCGCTGTACTTTAGCGTCTTGTTGATTTCGTTGGTGTCGCTTTGTCTGTCGTGTCCGTCCGGTTCTGCGGGCAAAGATTTTATTTGGTATTTTGAATAATCTAGGACTTGCATGTCTAAATTCTGTGAGGAAGCGAGACATTTGATCATTCAATTGTTTGGGCATTTTGTAGAAAACAAGTCACAGTTTCTCACCGCAAACCATGCTGCAAATCTTGCTTTTATTGTTACAGTGTAAGTGCCACTTTCTCTCGATATCTCACGTTCTTGCGAAAACAAAACAGGTATTATCAGGGATTGAAAAAGCAAATCCTTGATTCTATGTTGCAATTTTCTTTCGTCCGGGCGTTGTACAAAAAATCCAGCTGTGTTTCGCGTATGCTGTGACGAAAATACAGTGTATTTGCGTTTACACACGTTCCGCGTGAATGCCGCCTCTCTCAACATACTACAACTTACTACGACTTCGTTTTATTTCGCAGTCTTCGGTACATCATTTCTCATTAAGTATTTTACTGTTTGTGAAAAACGAGTTAGATATTACTTCTAAAGGCTGAAAATCAGTTGAAGAACTTTGTGTTCGGCGGATAATCTGGATAAGAATTTAATACATGTAACTGGGCTCTTGGTTTACTCTCTGTAGACCAGATGGAACACGTAACTACTCTGGCACTGTAATTGGCTCGAATTGACATATTCATTATCATAACCGCGGGCCTTTGAAGCAGTAATAAATATATGACATTTATTGCCAGCGATTATTCATTTTGAGGTAAAAGTAATTATAAGCTGTAAGTCATTACATGTCATGATAATATTATTCATCAATTTAGAATAATAGTATTTTTTGACAAATTCAAGTGGTTTTAAGTTATTCACAGTGTATATTTATTGTCTGTTCGACAATCAACCCATAAGTGGAAGTAGGAAACCTGAAATGGGTTGTTCCAGAAAAAATCCACATCCCCCCGACGGATGGGATTCTGGAAATTCTCGCGGGAGGGGGGGGTCGAAGACTCCGGAAATCCAGGCGGGAGGGGGGGTTGACCTTAAAAAAGTCTTCTGCAGGGGTCATTTCGACCGATAGTTGATACAAATCAAACGTTTAGTTCGATGACACTTGAGCGCTTTCAGACCCTGAAAATAGTCAAAATGTTTTGTTCATATATTTCTCACCTGACATAAATGATAATCTAAGTTGCTTTACAGGTCCTTTTATAGCAGAAAACGCGAAAAAGATACTAAAGAACGGGCCTGAAGGAACTCGTCGCAACGTTGTCACGAAGAGCGTCAAACGCCTGACACATTTCTACTCGTACCCAGAGCCCGCGCACGAAGAGCGAAGAGTGATTTTTATAAGCTAAGAAATTATGTAAACACTCGTTCAGGTGTCGTTCGCATTTTTGTTTTTTGCTCCTTTCGTTTTTAGTTCCACGCGATAGAATTCTTAGTTTAATATAAGCTGAAGCTTAAGAAATTAAAACAAAAACATTTAGACGTGTTTGCGTGTATTTTCCATTAAAAATAAATTAAATTTAAGCCTTTTTTTTTCCCGGAAATCCAGGCGGGGGGGGGTCTTCCACCTTGGAAATCCAGTTGGGAGGGGGGGGTCTTGTGCTTCAGGAAATCCAGGTGAGAGGGGGGGTTAAAAAAGGATCCCATCCGTCGGGGGGGTGTGGATTTTTTCTGGAATAACCCAATACCTTTTTTGGAGCAATACCGTACATATTTTTAGTATATTAGCTATGAGGAAATTAATGTGTGATATAAAGTTTAATCAACCTTTGAAATTATCTTGGATCTTTGATTTCCAAGTAATGCTTATTTATAAATATTGCCTGCCTCAATTTCTAAAATTTAATGCTTAGTAGCCTGTCCAAAGATGTTTTTTTTCTTCTGACAATTTTTCCCGGAAAATTGTAGCATCACTGCAACTAAAAAGCAAAGTAAAAACAAACAAAAAAATGAAGCAAAAAACAATTTAGTCAACTTTCAAAATGTATTCTAATGTATTTACAAGTTACATGTATGAATGAGTTCAGATGTAGGGCCAAAACATTTAAAACTGGTTCCTATGGTTAATGATGTCCTCAGAGTAAATCCCACTTACGTTGTCACCAATAGTCATGCATAGAAATTGCAGGGAGATGTATTAATAAAATAATTAAAATTGTATGGGAGGATGAGACTGCTGTTTTCCTTTCATTGCCTGCTCTCACCTTCACAGCGTATAATTATACAGAACTTTGAATCTCCTGAAAGCTACCACCACAAATGCCAAGATCCAGTGTTCTCACGGGAGGTACAGTCACTTACAAGAATTGAGTTGAGCTGGCCTTGACATCCTCTTTTCTGAAGATAATTTACATTGTTTTGCATGCAATTTCTTAGTTTTTACGGTATGATATGCAGTTCCATGACATCAACAAAAGCTCTTTGTATAATGTGAGTAGTATAGTGCACTGTACAGAGAACATACACCATACTTGTTTGTAAACTACATGACTGTATACACCGTGCGTAAAGTGGACATGGTCGCTTACATGTACATGTACAAGAGGTTAAAAACAATGGAAAACTGAGAGAGTTGAGGTGTACAAAAGGTTCCAAATGAAGGCTTTAACTGGGAAAAAGTGTTTTGAATAAGTACTTAGTTGCTTAAGGTACAGGTAGTCAGCATGTGGAGGTTTGACTGTACATATAGTTAGAAATAATTAATTTATTAAATTATATTCAATGTTCTTTGATGCAATCTTTTTTTAAGTATTCATGCGGCTAAATGTAATTTAGGCAAAGTTAACCTCAAAGCAATGCTGGTCAGCTGTCTCCCCAGCTATAGTAGGGGTGGCCTGATGCCTCTAGCAGGGGCACCTCATGACTTATATATGCAGTTGCTTGCTTGCAGTTCTTCGCAAAGTGTTGTTGCAATAGCTTGCTGTTTGCGTGCCAGTTTGTTCTTTGGTTTTTCCCATCCCTCCCTCCCTCTTGGTATGGGCTAGGTAAGTATTGGGTCGGTAAGTATTCCACTGAATTGTTCAGTTTGACGGTGCCTGGTGGGGGCTGCTCACAGGGTTGCCGTGGATACGTCCTCCTCATGCTAGAGCATTGCCGGGCTCCACCAACTTTGTAGGCACCAACGCCCAAGCTCATCTATTGGTGATGAGTTTAATGACATTCTTATTCTTTTCATCTTGCTGAAATAGTAAGGGTCTGGCAAAAAATTGCTTTACAATCTTCTCTAACACTGTTTTATATTTTTTGCATATTTTCACAGATACACAGTCTTCTAACACCCCTTCAGGTATGATTTACTTATTGTTAATGATATGGTATCCTCTTAAAACATTAATTGATAATTTTAATAATTATTGCAAAAGAGCTGGATCCACAGTCTAGGATTTGAGGGTGCATTCTCTGGGCAAATCTGAATAGGGATCATATACCTGCCAACTCTCACGCCTGCGGGTTGAAAACTTCGATCTCACACCGGCTCACGCTTGCTGGCCAATTTCTCATGCCTGATTGAAAAATGTGAGTTGTTGCCGTCTTGCTTGACACAATTTCCAAAAATATGTTAAATCAGACCCATGTAAGAAAAGAAAACCATGTGTAAAATGAATAAATGACAATACCTTCCTCGCGATCTCTGATTTTGTGGATAAGCATTTTCTCGATAACTTCGCCTTCGGCAGACTTCGGACGTCTTCGGAAGACTTCGGACGTCTTCGGAAAACTTCGGACTTCTTCGGAAGACTTCGGACTTCTTCGGGAATCTTTGGAAATGATCGTGTAGTCTTCAAAAATCCCAGCACTCCCAGGATAAAAATCTCAGAAAAAGTTGGCAGGTATGGGATCAGTGATCCTACAATAGATTAGTCGCATCACATCACACCAAAGGAATAGACCAATCTACTCTGGGAATTAAGGATTCATTAGTTCATTGGATACCATGACTACTCTGACTGATCCTGATCTAGATCATCCCAAAGGTACACACCCTAAGTAAACATTCATCATGATTTTAAGTAAATTTGTTCATTATTGTACATTGTATGATTAACCACGAAAAGGTAAAGTGCCTTTAAAATGTCCTATGGTTTGCAATGGAACAATATAGTTTTAAACAGTAGCAGGTCTTTTGATTTTGTTATTGTAGTTATCAAATTCTTTTTACTGTACATTAACAGTTGTTTGTGCGTCTTTATTAATTTTTACTTGCAGGTTGTACCACTGCCTCCGGTTTCCTTGGCATGACAAACGGGAAAATTCGTGACACTGACATCTCAGCGTCCTCAGAATTAAATTCAAATTCATCAGCATCAAATGGAAGACTAAATAACACAAAATCTTGGGTTGCTGATAACAATGATACACAACCTTGGATACAAGTGAATTTTGGAAAAATTATGAACATTACTGCGATCAGTACTCAAGGCTTTCCAGGTTCTGGCTTTGTTTCATCATTTTACTTCAGTTATGATACCAGTGAAATGGAGTGGTTGAACTATACCATTCATGGAGGATATGTTAAGGTAATCATATATAAACTACATGTAACTGTTTAAAATTTCCACGTGCACTACATGATATAATAAATTCTGCCGAGAGCAACTCTAGCTTTGTCAGTGCTCTCTAACCTTCCCAAGTGCATCCATAACTCAATAATTATATATGCACAGCTAAAAGCATGAGCAAATTCTTTCATAACATAGCTCACATAGCTTTTTGATTAAGTGCAAAATTCTCATAACAAGTTGGCTAGTTACAAACAGGCCGCAATTTTCTAGTTTGAAAGAAAATTCTTTCTGTAAAACTGAGTCACTGAGAAAGAAAATTTGCTTATTTATTCGTTAATGATCAATGGAAACTAAGCTGAAACAAACGTAAAAGCAGAGTCTTGAAGTCCACCTAAAGTTAGAAATAGCCATATGTTCGTAAGAAGTCATGGAGTATAGTTTGGACAATTTCCGTATTGGCTAAAAAGATTATTTATGTTTTGCTCGGCAAAATGTGGAAAACTTGTTTTTTAGTGCCGACGACTGTGGTCCTACTTTATTTTTATTCATTTACTAACAATGGCTGGTCATTATGGCTTTTCGAGAATACCTGGCAGCAGCAGTTTTTGTGAGTAATAAATTTAAAGAGACATTTTCCTTCTTCTGTCGGATTGTTCGGTAATAACAAAGTGCATGAATAATTTTTAATTTTTTTTTTTTTTGCTATTGAGCTTACTTTATAAGCTTATACACGTAATTAAGTTGTTTTGTAAAGGATAAAGAAACGCTAAAAATGGAGGACACTTCATACAAATGGGATATTTCTGTGTCAGTCCTTATGGCAGACTTTTCAACGAACAGGCTCTATTATTAATTTGCAAAACATCTTCACCGCTTTTGCTGTTGGTTTGAGTGGCCAGCTAGAAGCTCAATTCCAAATACTATGCTAGAAAGTTTTTCATCATTGCCGTCGATTTTTGAGTATTAGTACTTAGGAAAAGATATGAAAAACACGGCTGAACTCGTCATCATGAAAAAAAATCTTTATACAGTGCATACTTGCCAACCCTCCCGGATTATCCGGGAGTCTCCCGGATACGACACCAATCTCCCGGTCTCCCATACGGGTCGCTTTATCTCCCGGATAAAATCATCTTTTGAGCTTTTCTGTGCCATAGTTTGAAATTTAGCCCATTTTTAGCTCAAAACTTGAATTTTTCTTATTCGTAACTGTAGTACGGTTTCTGAGGCATTTTACACCTATTTAGTCACTGACAAAGATTATTTCTGGCATCAAAACGATGATCGTGAATTTGGATAGTATCTACTTCATGTAAGACTTGATATAATGTCCTAAATTTCTGGGATAGGGGGCTAGTGAAAAACAGAATCTCCAGATTTTAAATCTCTAGAGGTTGGCATATCTGACAGTGTATGCAGGGTCTGCCTAAATAAAGATTTTGTTCATACAGTTAGTGGCTCAATAGGACTTATATAGGGCAAGCACGCGCGCTATGTTATGTTATAAGTTTTAGTATATAGAAAGAAAGTTAAATGTTACTCTAGTTTCAGTACTGTTACATTTAATTTAGTGATCCTCAATGAGTGAAGGTGGAGATCTTATACTCTGCTACACATCTTACTTTCTACTTGTATGCTTTGTATTTTTTAAGCTGTACTTGTAGTTTATTTGTCTTGGTCTCTGTCTGTAGTCTTACTTGTTCTGGGTTCAGAAGACCAAAGTATTATATCCTGTAGCTTATAGTGGAATATACATTTTTTATGTTTCTTTAGGTTTTTCAGGGTAATACAAATGATAATGGTACTAAGAGAGTGTTGGTCAATCCCTTGGTGACAGCACAGTACATAAGATTACATCCAACAAACTGCTCTGGACACTGTGCACTTAGAATGGAGTTTTATGGCTGTAAATCAGGTATTATTCAATCGGTCAGTGTAAAAGGCAGACTGCGGACTATTGTTTTCACCATGCAAATGAGTATGTGACAACAATAATCCCATTGTTTTCTAACCCTAAAAACAATAGTCTGCATTTTACACTGCCCCATCATTTAAAGTCATAACTCAGGTTAAGCCTAATTATGATCTGAAGATTATGGAGATACAATGTGGAGGAGAGTGTTTCATGTACAGTGTACTAGAAATAGAACATGGACGTGTATCACAGAATCTCACGAATCTTGGGGGAAGAGGCTCGTAAAGTGTAACTGGGGAGGGTGGGTTCAATGGCGGCTGTAATATTGGAAGCAATCTCCTTTTGGTTGGAGTAAACTTGAACTGAGTGCCCTGGCTTTAAATAGGGTGTGGGATTTAAATGGAGTTGCTGTTGTATTAAGGCGGTGTAGGCAAAGTGGTGATGGTGTCGTGTTCACCCTATTTGATCGTCCTTAATCATGTGTAGTTTATGTCAAAAGGAAATGCAGGTGTGATAGTGGATGACTGCAGGCTATTATGTGGTGGGATTTGCTAAAATAACAGCTAACTTCCGCCGTCTCCTACAATGTATAATAATATTGTAATAATTAGAGTTGTACTGCGTGGCATCCTCCAAGATCTGCATGATTCTTTAGATCACACAATAGGTGAATAGAAACTAAGAAATGGAATTTTGATATTTTAAATCACGATTTAAGCAATCATGAGGCCGAGTACATGTACATGTATGATCTGAAAATTGTTACATGTAGATCATACTATCAAGTGAACAAAAATATATGTTTTTTTAATTCTTTGAAAATATATTCATACTTTAAATTATGCTAAATAATGTGCCTGATACATTTAGAATAATGCTTATTATTATCCCAGTCAGTATTATATTGCAGTTACATCTGCACAACATTATTTTATTATCTGGTTCCTATAAGTAAACAAATAATCTGACTGTGTTTTACCCTGATACACCGCAGATCCAACTATAGGACTTCCTGGTCAACCACTTTCCCTAAAACAGATTTCTATTTCATCATCCATGATCAACATTACATGGGATCCACCTATTGACATTGGTGATGGCATAAAAGGTTACATTGTGAAATGGCAGGAAGTAAATGTAACATCTGGCTCAATGCAAAAAGTTGTTCCACCTTTAAGTTTCAATTCAGCATCACTTGCTGTTACACCATACACATGGTATGACATTCATGTGCAAGCCTACAACGACGAGGGGACTGGCCCTTGGTCTAAACCTTTAAGAGTACAATCACGTGAATCAGGTGAGTTTAATACTTAATTCTCTGCACATCGTTATACTGTGATTGATATTTTCTTTTGATCAAGATGCATGATTCTTGAGGAAGTTGAGGCTCTATTTCCACTTGTCAGTCACATCACATCTCAGAATAGACCATTAATTTACAGTTGTGGACTTATTGCCCCAGCCGTTGAGTGAGATTGAGGTTGACCTTGTTTCAATAAAAATCTCCTTTGTTTTATGACAATTATGCTTTAAAAAAAATGACATTTGTAGTTTAAGAATAGCATTATTTGCATTTAAAAAAAGCATGAAGGGTTGTATCGTTTTTATTCTAGTTTAGATAGTATGTATTGTAATATTTTGAGATGTCTTTTGCATACAGCTGTAGTTAGTATAATTATTTGGTAATTTGAGATTATTATGTATTTATTTAACATAGTTTAGCAGGTCCACATCAGCGTATGCTGCCATCTCTCAACGTGCTTTATCAAATAAAGCATGTATGTGTGCATGTATGTATGTACGGTATGAATGCATGCAGTGGCTGTAAGTTTGTTCTATTTCAGTACCCTCTGCTGCACCAGCAAACTTCGCTTTAAGTTCCAGTTCTCCTCTTTCACTAACTGCATCATGGGATGCCATACCTGTCAAGCAACAACAAGGAAAGCTGCTGGGTTACCAAGTCTTCTACAAGAAGGAGGGATCCGGCAATGAACAAAATGGGACTGTTGGACCAGATCAGCTCAATTACACAATTATGGACCTTGAGATTGCAAGTTACTCTGTTAGAGTAGCTGGGTTTACTGCAGTCGGTATTGGCAATTCCACTGTGATACTGACAGAAACGCCAAGTGAAGGAGGTTAGAAAACGGCACATTTAAGTTTGCTGATGCATGTTATTGTTTTAAATTGACTTGATCAAACAACTAACTGTAGTTATCTTCGAAGCTTAGATACATGTACAATGTATATATGCGTCTTATTATTTTACTAGTTATAGTTGACTCTACAACTGCCCCCACTCTGTATTGAGTCCATCATTGCAGCCTTGGACTTTGTGTAGCTCTTTGAAATTAACCGTTAATGTTGAGAATTTTCACACATAAACAGACAGCAAGGGGAACGCAAAGCAGGAAACGCAAGATTTCATTTCAGGCCGATCAGTACGCAGCGTTGATCAAAACACTCTCGGTGTTTCGACCATTTTTTCACACACGTCCTAGTTATTTTATTAAATTTTCGGACTAAAACGGCATACATCAGCCCAGAATTTAATTGTACCAGTTCGGGTAATTTCTGTAATCGTCTACCCTGCGTGCAGAGTCTACATTTTCGCGGTGTGAGCTGCTGAGCGAAAAGTACTACTACGCACTTCACTCACACAGCAAAAATGTAGCCTCTGCTCCCAGGGTATATATCGTTCTGCTGATAGAAACTACATTGTAGCTTGATTTACTCGTTCGCTTAGGAAAACTTGTTTGTTTTTTTGTTTAAATCGTTTCCAATCAAAGATTTTTGAATGATAGCGGAACTCAACACCCGTTCGAAGCGCGCCCGAACGTAGTCCCATACCTAAGAAAATGTGGTAATCTACCCACCCGAGAAAGTTTGGTAATCACGTGACCTTACGCCCGTGTGCCCGCCCGCCGTTTATCAGCACCACAGAAATACCAATGTAAAATAACTCAATCAACAGATTTGGCAACCCAAATGCAACTCTAGGTTATCCTGGCGGGAATCGCATAGCCACCCTCGTCTTGTGAAGCAGAGTCAATAAAGACGAAAACGGAAAGCGGAAATTGTTTCTGTATCCGTGTTGTCTAAAGTATTAAGCTTACATTAATTGTCATGTCCACAATATGGAAAGGTAGAGAAAGAGAAAGACGGAGAAGAAAAAGACTGAGAAAGTAGGCGACAAGCCGGCGAAGCTTAACGAGAAAAAGAGCGACAGAGAGCTAGCGCTAGAGAAAAAAAGCAAAGGAGACATTTTTTTTGTTGGAAGAACAACATGAAAATTTTGTAGCGCCGGTGAGAAAATGAGAAGTGCTAACGGCCACCAAGAGTGAAATGAGCGGCTGTGAAAAAAAGTGAACAAGAACACCTGACGTACGACATTCGACATTTCGTCCACAAAACGTGTAACTAGGAAGTTTCTGGAAGTTTTACGTTGTAGTCGTGCAAAGCAAGGGCAAAGAAATGTACAAAATATGTGCTGCATGTGCAAAGTTGCTTTTTTGCTAATTAGACCCATTGTTGTTTTTTCACCGTTCTCGTTGCCTTTGCCGCTTAGCATTTCGCGATTTTACATTTTGTTTGAGCAAACTAAAAATATTATCGAGGCTTCTCTTTTAGCCCTGGCTAAATCTATATATTAAACTCGTGTCTGGAAAACCCTCTAAGTGCTTACCGTAAATGACCTACTTTGTAATAAATGCCTAGGGCGTCTATTTCTTTTTAGGGGTCCAAGAGGGGGCGTTTAATAGATAGGCGGCGTTTATTCTCATATTTACTGTAACAATCTCAACAAAACTAATATGCTTTCGGCGAAAATATCAAGAAAGTTTAAAAATAGCGGAATATCCACTCCATCAATTGATACGCCTAGGCCGTCTAGAGATCCATATCACTCTTTAAAATCCCAACAATGATGTCAGCATCCTCGCTCATTAGTCGAGCTTGCTTGAGCAGAGCGAGACTCTCTTTTTTTTTTTTCTTCGTGGGCACCAATTTGGAGGCCATGCTCCCAGGCGTTCCTAGCGGAGACCGTGGGAACTGGGGATCAGAATCGTGACGACGTTCATTGTATGCAAATGAGACTCGTGATGAGCATGCGACTGATTTTCGGTGATGACTGAATTGACGCATGTAAGTTGATGACGTTTTTCGTGCAAGCTGCTAGGATGCGTCCTCGGGATTTCGCCTTCTGGACGAAATCCCTGTGAGGGCAATAAACCTGAGACAGAGGAGTTCGTTTTTCTGCTTTTTACTGCATGTTGTATGGTATTCAAAAGACAGTATGGACCAGTGGTAATAATAAATACTGATTAAACTATGTAGTACTTAAACATTCTGTTTTCTTCTGTAAATCGTGCAGCTCCGTCCCCTGTTAGGAACTTGGAACTCAGTGTGGTTTCATCAACATCAATCTTGGTGAAGTGGGAACCACCAGTAACAATGAATGGAAATCTCCGGCATTATGCAGTGACGTATGGAACAGCAAGGGACAAGTTGAATCAAAGGAGGAATTCTCCCACTGATGTCAGTTATGAACTAAATGATCTGGAAGAATTTACTGACTACTATGTTCAAGTGTTTGCTGAAACTTCTGTTTCAGGAAAACCCTCAGACATAGTTGATGCAAAAACATTGGAAGATGGTATGGCCAGTAACTTTGAATGTTTTGTTATGTTATGTTACTTACTTTACTCTCGAACAGTAATCTGGGACGTCAGCATACAAATGCACCACCGGCTGCCACCATTGGTCCATTTGTGAGGTTAATGTAACCCTGGATTTTGTGATCAGTGAAGTGATTACAAATGTACATGTAGACTACACCATCTTGTTTTCTTTCTTTTTCTTTTTCTATTAAACGTACAGCTCCAAGTGCTCCACCAGTCATCGATAAAGCGGAAACTAAAGCTGAAGATGCTCACACTATTAGAGTCACGTGGAATGAGATTGTCAAGAAGGACCAAAATGGTATCATAATCGTTTACACAGTGGCATACAAAGTGGAAGGTCAACCTATACAGTTAAGCCTCAATACAACTGACACAAATACAGTTATCAAAGGACTAAAGCCATACACACGCTACTGCATTAGAGTACGAGGCTATACTAAGATTGGACCTTCAGTTTGGTCTCCCTGTACCATAGTGATGACGTCACAGTCAGGTGCGGTATAGTTCCCCAAGTTTGATCAGTTTGAAGGCACAAACCACAGAGAGAAAATAATTACAACGAAACAAAAACAAACAACAGAAAAGCCACCGGTGTTTGTGACAAGCTAATGAATCCTCTTGTTAAGGCAATTTTATTGAACCTAATAATAGCCTTTTATCAATTTATAGGTGTATGCGTTTGTGTAATTATTTTTGTTTTTATCTTATTCAATTCTTTATTTTTTTGTCCGCTTCTTTTGAATACATGTAGGTGCTTAGTTTTGCTGTAGTTTCTCTATCAACTAAATTATAAATACCCCAAAACGTTCGGACGAAAATTTTATCCAACATTTTTTCCATTCGCATATCTGTCAACACGATGTTTTCGTAATCTGCAATTGTATTGCAAATATTTATTTAGGAACCGTTCTAGGTGTTTTTATGTTGAGTTTATTACGTTGACTTGAGTTTTTTCTATGAATTGTGTGTATTTAACAATTATTCCTCGAGCCCAAATGGGCTCTGAGTCAATAGCCCATGAGGCCGAAGGCCGAATGGGCTATTAACTCAGAGGGCATGAGGGCGAGAGGAATAATTGTTTTAGTAAAATCCAACTAGCTGGTCAAAAATATCGAGACAAACAACTTTAGCTAGTTAAAGCTAGACTTTAATCCTTTTTTGCCGCCAAAAAGGCGGCGCTTTTCGCTACTAGTGGGCTATAACATATAGCCTAGTAGTTGCTCAACCAATCAGAACGCAGTATTGATAATAGACCACTAGTTGGATTTTACTAATTGCTCATAGCGATCGAGTACATGAATGTCAGCCGGTCAGAAAACTGGTTGAACGGCAGTGGAAAGTTAGTGCAGTTTTACTAACAAAAGAGTTAAAACTGTAGGTCCAAGTCGTCCGCAAGGTGTTCTCGTGAAAGCTTCTTCATCTACCACCATTGATGTAGAGTGGAGCGAACCAACAGAACCAAATGGAGTTATACAAAACTATTTGATTGAATATGGAACAAGCCCAAACCATCAAACCACCGAGAAAGAAGTTACAAACCGCACATTTCAATTCACCTTAACTGGCTTAGAAAAATTTACAACTTATTACATCAAGGTCAGGGGAAAAACAAGCAAGAAAGGGAATGCATCAGAAGTATTAAATACTACAACGTTTGAAGACCGTAAGTATATATTTTTTTTCCTCTAATAATTATACAGATGTCTTGGCCATGCGTTTTTATTTGAGCAGCCATATGGGAGTAATGTTAATCTGAGCTATTCACGCACACATGCACATACAGATGCAGCTGTAGAATGCAGAGCTGCTGGTACTTAATCCTATGAGCAAAGCTCATTTATTGCACTTGAACAACCCGGTAGCTTAGGCGGTAGAGCTTTGCACAAGGTGTCGGTTTTGAATCCTACCCGTACTGCAATGTGATATAAGACCTTTTGGTGCGATCAGGGTATAACGTTAGGGTTACTCTAATTGAGGCAATCGTTGGTTCCAACACGCGTGATGGTTCTATCCTTATGAACAACGCGACTCACCCAAAAGTCAGATTGCAAAAGACTTGAAGTGGAGTGGAGTGGAGACTTTATTTAGAGAGGGCAACACTGGAAGGGTACAATAAAAAAACTGATGTAAGCTCCGTCCACACGAATCCCGATATTACTGGTTTCATGTAAACGGAGGGCCCGTCAACCTACCCCCCCCCCCCTTAAAATAAATAAATAAATAAATAAATAAATAAAGCGTCAGGTGTCTGTAAGGACGGGTTCTGCAAATTTCGGAGCAATAAAAGAAACTGGCGCAAATATGGATATTCAAAATAGCGCTACGACATCAAGTTGTTTTACACCTCTGTAATTTATTCTTTTTCGTTCTGCATTTCTACAGGTCCTGGTCCCCCGCAAAAATTTGCTGGTAGAGTCTTATCAGACAAAGAAATTCTCATTACGTGGGAAGAACCTATTATTGCCAATGGAATCATAAGATCTTACCATATCATAGGTTATGAAACTAAAACTGGGCGAGAGGTTTATAACAGAATTGTGACTAAGGGACTCAAAAAAGAAGAGAGCCTACAAGTATCCAACCTTACGCCGTATACAAACTTTACCTTCACGATACAAGCCAAAACCATTGAGCTAGGAGAGATGGCTAACTTCACGGCAAAAACATCGGAAGGAGGTGACTTTGAAATATTTTTTTGCGTACCCCGCCGTACCCCCTTTTTAGAAGGTACCTTATTCTCCTTTATTTTCGCGGGACTTAAATTTCGCGAAAATTTTCTCGGCACATTTCGCGAGTCTTTAATTTCGCGATCGCGGAGAAAAATTGTGTTTGCAGGGAATTAAATTTCGCGAAATTGACGACTAAGTTACTTTATTTTTTCTTTTTTACAAAAATTGTACGTTAATCAACAGTTGAAACAAAACCAATATGCTGTCCCTTAGCGGCAGCCGTATTCCTCTTGTTCTTCCGAGTCGTCATCGAGTATCGAGAGTATCGTTACATGTCCTTTCTAGGAGATCTCAACAGAACCTTCAGTCTCTTCAAACGGATCCTCAGGGGGAAGACTAAACGATTCATCCAATAGTTGGGCGAAGCCAGCCTTTTCCCACCCTTTAGTGATGTGACAATTTTTAAAATTTTTAAAACTAAACTAGTGAGCAGCACTCTGCGAACTGTTGCTTTAAAACTTGTTTATTCTCCTACGCGTTTCGTCTAACTAACGTAGACTTATTCAGGAAGTTTTACAATCAAGTACTAAACGCCTGTATTTAAGCCATAATATGACTAAAACTAATGATGGTCGCAAACATTGAAGGTTTGGCCGGATTTACAAAAAGGAACAGGCGCAGCTGTGAAATTTTTTACGCAAGGTGTGAGAAAACTTTGGGGCCACGGTTTTAGCTAAAATAAGTAATAAACAAGTTTTACAGCAACAGTTCGCAGAGTGCTGCTCACTAGTTTAGTTTGAAAAATTTCAAAAATTAACATCTGAAGTTGATAGATGATAGCACCTTGTACTAACACCTTGTGTTAAAAATTGTTTAGGACCCTTGAAAACACAAACACATGATTTCCTATGTCCATTAAATTTCGCGGGTCTTTAAGTTCCCGAATTTTTTAAAATCGCAAAAATCGCGAATTTAAGAACCCGCGAAAATTAAGGAGAATAAGGTATTTTCTTGGTTATTCGTTCAATTTTCCACGGCCACGGCCAAAGACCAAGTTCTATTCTTTGTAGTTACTTGTATTTAATTTTGTGTTTAAACACATATTCGCCCACGGAGGATTTTGGTGTTAACTCCTTCTCTGGAAATTAACAAGAAATTAAATCAAATGTCGAGGCCTGGATGATTCGTTCGAAATAACCCAGTTTTCGCAACCAGGAATCGCCTTAAAACCTCAGATATTTTCACGCGCGATTCGAAATCGCACTTAAAAAACGTGGCATGAAGAATTGTGTATTGAAAGAGCCAATACTACATCAAATTGTTATCTGTGAATTTTCTTTAACCTTTAGTGCCAGGTAAACCGGCGTTTGTCACAGCCAAGTTAGAGGAAGATAATATTAACGTATTTTGGGAAGAACCAGTTAATCCTAATGGAATAATCACAAAATACAATGTGAGTGGAAAATATGTTTACATGTTATTTTATCAATATTTGTAACCCAATCCCCGCGTAATACCTCCTTTATGACCCTCTTAGCGACAGTCTATTGGCAAGGCTTGTTCTCACTAGTAATGCATAGAATAAGAAACGTAATCAGAAGCATAGAGCCTTGCCGTCTTGTTAAAACAGAGTCCCGCTTCCTCTAACGTCTCTGTTGCGTACTATCCTGGTGAAAACCAGATTGCCGGAGTCGCAAGGAGAAGCGGTGGAAGAAACCTAATCACCGTGTCGGCGACGCATGGGAAGGGGTATTGCGAATGGTTTTTTTTTTCACTTCTCCTTCTGACTCCATCCGACATTCTGGTTTTCACAAGACTGTAAATGGAAACGTTTTATCCTATGTTCACCCTATACCGGATAGCTAGCTTCTCGTGCTTTCCGGTATGGTATGAGCAGCAACGGCACAGAACTGGAACAAGTCGTTCACATGCATCAAGCTGTAGCGGTTAGCCGAGAGGGTTAAGTTCTCTACTTGCCTAAAGAACATCCTTCTTTAATATTTTGCAGTCAGTGGTCTTGTTTAACTGAGGGATCTTTAGAGACGTGCCCCACTTTTCATTTCTTTTTCTTGCGAACTTTGAAACCGTTCTCCATTTATCATTTAGGAACAATTTCGAGTACAAAATTAATTTGTTAAACATGTAAATGGCCTGTTACGTCTTTTCACTCACATGGTCAGCAACTATGCAAATTTATTGCGCCAAAAAGAGCGCGCACAAAAGAAAAGAATTCAACTCCCACAGTAATTATTTGGGACACCAAAATGGCCTAGGCTTGGCCCGGCCGGGCTGTCTTAATGGTATTTTGACACCAACATGGCGGAATTGACGTCGTGTGAAAAAGTATAGAGGTATAGAGAGGTGATCTTATAGTGTGTTTTGTTTGTCCTTTTCTGTTTAGGTGCGTTGCAAGGGAAGAAGAGTGTATAACACCTCTTTCAAATCTGATTTACAGCTGGTGGAATCTGAAACGTCTCGGTATACGTCTATCACTAAAGAAAACTTGAAACCTGGTACAGAGTACACGATATATGTTACGGCGTTCACTAAGAAAGGAAAGGGTACAGCAAGTGACGCTGTTACAGTAACCACACCGGCAAAAGGTAACAGTCAACATCATCATTGCGTACTGGCAGGTTTTAAATAGCACTATGACACTCTGCACTGAATTTAAACCCTGACTGGTCATTATACAGTGTTGCAGTACTTTGTAGCCTGATACCCTAGAGTGTCAGCCGTCTCCGTTACCCCAATCCCCACTCCTTCAAGGCGAGATACATGTACGTAGTGTGCGTTGCATTGATCTTATTCTGGAATAGGGGACGAGAATAGTATACAACTATCCCCGAAGTGGAGGTGAATAGTGGTGCCTATATCCCGGACTCGAAGCGTCGAGGTATATTTCTAGCGCTATGAACCGACCCTGAAGGGTTAGTTGTTTAGTATTTACCAAATCAGTTAGATAAAAATCAAAAAGGAACTTTTTTAAATAAAAGACGTCACTTAGAGTTTGTTTACGTTTCAATTGACAGTGTTTCGGGGATCATTTTTTATGATTTTGTTGCAAATTGAGCGAGAAAATTTTTTCTTCCGACCAGTAAACACTGACAAGCCAAATTGTGTCTCTTCCTTGTTATTTGTTGGCGCAGCTGCTTCATTTACCGCTAAAATTTTTCGCGGGGAAATTGTTCTTGGCATCGCTAAATGTGGGCTGTTTCCTCAGACTATTATCTAATAGGTTAAAGCTATATGTATAGAGTGTTTTCACTCACGTGGTCAGCATCTATGCAAATTTATTGGAACAAAAGAAAGCGTTTACATAAGAAAAGAGCTCAACTCCCACAGGACTGGTTTGGGACACTAACATGGCCGCCGTTTCATTGTTTTGGGACACCAATATGGCCGCCGTGACGTCATGTGAAAACACTCTATAGAGATGTGAAATAAAGCCTTCCCCACCTTCTTCGTCATTTTTGTTTCTAGTCTTTTACCTGACCTTTGTGCTTGCGACGTTCATCATTTTTCTCTTGCAGCTCCTTCCCCACCACCACTCCTACAGGTTGCCGAAGGTAGCATCAAACCTACCAAAATGACAATCTTCTTGACGAAGTCTTCAGATAACAATGGAAGAGTTGTGTAAGTGTAATAGATTGTTTCAAAGTTTTTAACCACTCTTGTAACAAGTTAAAGTGACAGTGTCACTAAAAGATAACCCTACTCGTACATGTGAGAGATCTCCCTCAGGCCGATTCTCGTAAGTGACCACGTTCTTTTCAGAGATAGAGATGTTTCTCGTCGCGAAAGTATATAGTAATAATATATAGATTTAGCCAGGGCTAAAAGCGAAGCTCCCATTAATAAATTTATATTTTAAATGAAACAATAAACTTGTAATCCACAAATTAGTTAACTTAAGGGCACATTCTTATTTTAGAGTGAAACATCTTACATCCAGTTGATAGCCTAAATATACATGTATGTACACCTAATTGCAAAAACGTTGTCATAGAAAAAATGAAAAAAGGAAAAAGCCAAATAGGAATTAATTAGGCTAATGAGCCTTATGAATTCGTTTGCAGCATCTGCACACAGACGTCGAATTTGCCTGTTGGAATTTTCTATTGTTTTAAAGCTGAAAAACAATAAAAAAAAAAAACATTCCAGCGGGGAAATGCAACGGCTGCAAATGAATCCACGCTGAAAATGTGGCTTGATTAGCCTCCCTAATTCCTATTTGGCTTTTTCCTTTTTTCATTTTTTAAGACAACGTTACTGCATTTAGGTGTACCCCCAAAAAATAGCAAACATCTTCTATCACATTCAAGAGCCATAATGGCTCTTGATCACAGTAGATTAGGCCTCGAAAATAAATTCTTGGAAAACAAATCAGGCCGCCCTTTTTTTTGCGTTCGACAGGTTTACTTTACAAATTCTTGCCAACAAATCTGAGGGTGTGTAAACCAACCTTTTATACTTTTTATACATCACATCTGAGGTGAAACAGTACTTTTTATCATACAGACCTCGGACAGCATACGGCATTTCACAATTTTTCAATGTTCAGGACGATCAATCGTGGGCTTTTAGCGCAACCGTTCAAAAAATTTCCAAAATCACCCATACGGCCAGCCGGTTCTCATTTTTAGTGCGAGATGTCAGTGTGGTCGAGTGTTTGAATGAACTTTAATGGAGATACGCTTCAACATAATAACGAATTTATTATCATTATTTTTTGTTATTTAATGGTTCCAGTTATAACGATGTGTAATCTTATAAAGCGTTTGACACGCGCGACATTTCTAAGTACTCCCGCAAGCGATGTTCATGAACGATGAAAACAAACACCACGGACAAGCGATTAAAATTGCAAGAGAGACTACTAACAATCAATAAAATAAATATAATTCGGTAAAACATTTACAGAGACAACAATTTTCATTCACGAAGACAAGTATTAAAGTGTCTCTAAAAATCCTGAGTCTTTAAGCATAAAGCTTAAGCTTAAGTTTAGTTTGTTTTACTTTCAGCCGGCCTCCCGGTGTTTGCTTTTTTTTTTTCAAAGATGAACTCCTCGAAGCAAGAAAATCACTCAAAGTTTTCTTTCTACAGCCAAATTTACAACTAAATATTCTTCGGAACGTTTTTTTTTCTATTTGCCGTGAGAAAATATATCTGAAGGCCTTTTAAAGTTCTGTAAGCTTATATCAAACCTGACACTAGATCAGATCATTGACTCAAATATTAACAAACGTGCAAAAACTTGCCGCATAAACTGTGCTCGACTTCATGAAATTAGGTATAACAAAAACAAACATCAAATACAATAATTACTCAGGCTTACCATTCGAGATTCAGTTCCTGAAAGATATCAAGGAAGGCCATAGTTGCTTGAGACTTTTAAACCCTCTTACGCATTGAGCAAGGTGAAAGACGAAAACGATGCCATCCGAAATCGGATTACCCAATTTTGACAAGCGACGCATTTCTCAACCAAAAACCCAATAAACAAACCAGCCATTGATAACAGAAGACTCTTGATAGCAGCTATATTTCATTTTGTACATCCAGTGGAAAAAGACAGTTAAAAACATCTCAAGTTGAGACAAAACTCTGTCAGCTTTAGCTGTCAAAGTAAACAACTTTCAAGATGCTGCATAAATTTTCCGCATGAACTCACCTGTCAAATTTTGACCAATCAGAGTACAAAAATTGGACGTAGAGCGTGACCAACGCGTGACCATGGTAAGAAAAGGGTTCCCGCCATTTTCGAATTTTCGCGTCCGAGGTCAGTTTGAAATCAAAATCTTGACAGTGCGGGGCCATAGTGACATAAACACAACATATTTCATATGAATCATTGGACAAAATAGACTTGAGCCTGCGATCATTTGAAACTGGTAATTTGTCAGCCGATAACTTCAAAAAAGTACTCGACCTCGATGGGTCGACACTTGAGCCCGCGCTACGGTCAGGTGATACTGGTCAGCGGATATCCTGTTTTCACAGCTGTCAATTGATCACAACATTGATGTGCAATTAGTTTTCTATTGGGCTCCCAAACTAGCTAGAAAGTGTGAGAGTAAACATTGGTTTCCCTGTGGTGCGGACGGACGGTCGGGCGTACGGTCACGTGATTACCAAATTTTCTCGTATGGGTAGATTACCTGTACCACATTTCCTTAGCTATGGGGCTCCGTCCACGCGCGCGCTTCGCGCGCGGGTGGAGCTCCGCTAATAAAGAAGTTTAATCGACACATTCTCGCATTAAAAATGAATTACAATGTGTTTACAAAGTTCGGAAAATTACAAAAACCTAATTGAGACTGGGTTTACAAAATAATTAAAAATAGTAAAACCTACAAGAGTTACATAAATTTCAATCATAGCTACTAAGTTATACTAAGAATTTAATTTTTAAAATTTCTGGTAGTCGTAGCACAAGTACGCCATGCTTTGTTGATCTCAACACTGGTGCCTTTATCCTATGAGAACGTTGCTCTTTGACCGTGAAGAGCACGGAGGTTAAGAAAGGTAGCGAACTGTGTTCCTTAAGTGTAAGATGGCGTAGTTCCCTGAACCATAACGAACATGGCAAAGCTAAGAAATCCAAAAAAACTATGAGCCTAATGGGGACGCGTGTGGACGCCATTAGGTCCCAGCCCCATACCAAGAGAAGAGAAATGTCTCCGACCTGAAACCGGCGGTGTATTTTTTTTTTTATGTTGATTAATTTTTTCGATCCGAGCTCTGCCTGAAACTCTATCGTCTAAATATTGTCTAAAGGATGTTGGTCTTTTTATCGATACAGTTTTTCTAAGTTTAGAAGTTTTGTCTAACACTGATTTGTCTTATTTCCATAATTCTGTCTTCTACGTTAACAGAATGATATGGCACTGATACCTTATTCACACAAAGCTTAACCATCTTTATATATGGTTGGTTGTTTAGTTCCTTAAGTTGGGCACGGCCTAGCGAGCGAAAAAGTCGCGAGGAAGGACTTTTTTTGAAAGTCTAAGTTTGTCGCGAAGTAAAATTTATCTTGGATCCTACGTAGACACTAATTTTTCAGTTTTCTAGTAAGTAAGTAAAGCATTTATTTAAACACTCAAATTACAGCAACGCTGATGTGGTGATGTGTAAAATTAAAGATTAATAAGAACTATTCACATAATTAAGAATTAACATAAATAAAACCGATACGTTTAAGACATGATATGTTTTAGATATAAAAGCTAAAATTGGATTAAAAACCACCAATAGCTAGTATTAAAAAGTGCATTGTATAAAATCTTGAAGACAATTTCTTTACTCAGCGTTTAAAATTTTCTTAACAGGTGATTTTTCTCGTATCATCATTGTTCGACAGAAGCTCTGATATTTTAAACTTACTTCTTGACTATCTCTTTCTTGGGGGTCGGCATGTTGAAACATAATTGATTTTTTAAACTGTATTTGGTTTAATGCCTAACTAATAAGTGTCTTAGTAGGGGGGCATGCGCTCGTAGTAACATGTGCGAGAAATATGCTTTAAAGGCTTCTATTTGATACCCTGTAAACAGTCTCTCTGTTTGGGGAAAGGGTGAAAAAATCGCGAGGAGAGGGAAGGGAAAGATTTTTTCACCGTATCCCCAAACAGAGAGTTTCGGTTCGCAGGCTACCATTTGAAAGTGTTCAAGACGTCTTCAGGTAGTGTGCACCGGTCAAGACGGTCAATTATTTTAGCACCTCTTACGTGGATGCGTTCAAGTTCGTCACACAATGTTTTGTTGCTCGCCACAAAATTAGACCATACGCAATGAATGGTAATATTACTTTATGGTTGAAGTCCAAGGGGGCGTCAACTTGTAGAAAATAAACTAATTTCAACGGGTTAAGTTTCTGTGTGAACAATTTCAACAATTCAGATACGTGTTTAGACTATTTAAGTCACATCGTCGTTTTAGGGCATAAATTCTGTCTTGCCC